TATATATATATATATATATACACACACACACACACACACACACACACACACAATACATATGACAAGGGACACTTGACTGATTACACAGACACTATCGGAAGAGAGCTGAACTGGACGATGACATCACTGAATCATCACTGAACTGACTTTAGCTGAAAAAATGACTCTGTTATTGTCTTCTTGCATGATTGACAATCCATTTTCCTATTTAACACTGTAAAGCTGCTTTGATACAAGCAGTATTGTATAAAGCGCTATACAATTAAAGGTAAAGTTAGACATATAAACTTGAAACTGTGGCCAGATTTGACAATTTTACATGATTGGGCTGCAGAAAATCAAATAAACTACACTTCAACACAGCCACAATGTTCTACAGGGAAATATGACATAATAACGAACTAGAAGAAATTATCACTCTGTTCGATATGAAATATAAGAGACCCTGAGTGCACTAAATTCAATTTGCACTATATTTGGATTTTTCCCAAGTGTCTGATACATGTAGCACAACATATACACAGTCTTTAATAGATAAACAATAACAGTTTAAACGATAACAAAAAAATAAGGACGAGGAGTCCATGGGGGAGAGGAGGATGGGAGGAGCCAGGAGCAGGAGGAGCCAGATGTTGGTCCAGAGACCAGCCAGGACGAGGCCCCAGGGTGGAGTCAAGGGAGGGAGAAGCCATGGTGGAAACTTGACAGACGACATCCTGGGGATGACAGATGGAGACGGAGCCGCCGGAGGTGGAGACCCAGCTGGAGCAGACAGAGAGCCAGGGTGACACCCGAGGTCCGGAGGGCCAAGGCTTGAGCTGATGGCTCATGCAAGCGAAGCAGAAATGGGGACCTGGACGGCTGCGGCAGAGCCTGAGCGACAGGGACAATGGTGGAGTCGGAAGGGAAGGAGCCAGAAGGAACCAGAGGGATGGGGCGAAGCCGGAGGATTGGAATCCCATAGCGGAGGAAGATCAACGACTGAACAAGGCAGAGCTAGAGGGATGAGGGAGCCCGGTGGCTCTTAAAAAAATGTTCTTAAAAATTGACAGTGATTTGGCAGACCTGATCGGCAGGGCCAACTCATTCCAAAGTCTTGGCCCTATCACAGCGAAGGCCCGATCGGCTTTATATACGCGATTTGTTCTAGGCACTACAAGTAATTTTTGATTCTCTGATCGTAATGTTCTTATTTTAAAGGCCTCCTGTCCTCCCCCCTCCTGGAATTTTTTGTTTGTGAGGGTCGGAAGCCCCCAACAGAGGGGGGGATGTCATGTCTGTTTTTGTTTCTTAAGTTTTCATGTTTTTTATTTTGTATTTTCTTATCATAGTTCCTGTTTGTCATGTGCTTTCCTTGCTCCTCATGTTATCCCGCTATTGGTTGTCTTGTTCTCATTGGTTAATTTGGTCATGTGGTTCTTAGTTCTGTTTTGTGATTGGGTCGTTGTCTTGATTGTTCACAGGTGTTCTTTGTTTAGTCATTTAGTCTAGTGTAATAATAGCCCTCATGTTGCCTGTAACTACTGTTGGTGAGTTGTGTCCATGTCTATGTTCTTGTATTGCCTAAATTTTCCAAATAAATTTGCTAATTATTTGCATACATTCACTTTTTTGAGGACCAAGTCTAAAATTTCTGGTTTTAATTCATTTTGAGAGAATATTTGGGGGATGGCTGCAAAAATGTCAATGTGGTGTAACCGTAAAACGTACCAAATAATTGATCTTGATTTAAAAAATTATTAAATTCTCAATAAAACACCATATCTAGTTTGGCTTAATCTTACATTAGAACGATTTAATAGTAAATAAAAATAAATGGAACACCATTGTTCTGAATATTATAATTAATTTGGGGAATTGTGTTTCACCCGTTACACCATTTGACTCCTATTACAAGCCTTTCTGTTAGGGACCAATTTAGTCAAATATCACAAGTTTATGATGCTGATTAAAGATTTAATATAAACTAACCTACTATTTGGAACTATTTTCAAGTGTTCAATGTTATATTTTTTTGAGAAAGCTTTATCCACAACTTTATTATTAAAGCTCTGTAAGTCTAGGATAAAATAATTATGTTGCACAGCATTAGTGTTTTTGAAATGTTTAGCTTTAATGCATATTTCTATTCCATTCACTTAAAATTTTAAGCGATATATAATATCATATAATATATACATACATGATTTAATAATGTAGCAGAATGAATTAGGTGTCTACATTTGAACAAAAATGTAGTGATAATAGAAATGTTAACCAAAGATTACAATTTACATCTGTAAAATACAATTCATTACATTTCTGATATTTTATAATTATTACGACATGACATAGAGCCCCTTTTGCCCCAATAGATGCCACTTTCAAGCAAGGAAAAAGAGGCTTGTCACAGAGCACAAGTGAACGCTGATCCTGTTGCAAGGGCCAAATACCTTGCCAAAAGATCACTCACACACACACACACACACGTGAAAGACTGTAAGAATGTCAGGTTAAAGTCAGAGTGATGCAGTGATTTAGGTGTTCACACACAATTTTTGAAAATATGATCTTACCCTGATTTGTTACTGCCAGATATGTTTCCTTAACTCTTAACTGTAATTACAATATGAGACATAAGTTCACTGTTCATCACTCTGATGATTTTTTATCATATATTGTTTCTAAAATGGTTAGTTCACCCAAAAACGAAAATTCTAGAATTCTGAGCATTCCATCCATGCCCTCAAACTCTACAAGTACTCCCTCTGCGACGGGCATTGTTGCAGACTCATGCACCTACTTGGGCTCAGGCTCTGGGGCGGAACACGGCTCAGCAGGGCTTGCTGGCTCTTTCTCAGCAGCAGGCGCAGGCTCCGTGTCTGCGGTGGAACCAGGCTGCTCCATCTGTCTGGGTTTTGGCTGATTGGGTGCTGGGTTAGGAAGAGGGGTGATGGTAGGCTCTGAGAGGCCGATGGTGAATGCCGAGTTGTTTACCAGCACCCACTTCAAACATGCGGCGAAATCTTGTTGAGGATCACTCCCTGGCAGTTTTGCTCGGGACCCAAAGAGCGGAGCGGTCTGGGTAGTGTGTCAGGTTCGACAGTTCGATGAAGTCCCTGGTGTGGATTTCCAGGGAGCAGTCCCTCTGCTCCAGGTACAATAACTGGACTGCAGGAATGTCCATGGTGACAGAGGGAATAAACAAAAGAAAATGCTGCAAAATAAAACACTGTATTTGGAGACATTTCATTCTTACCTTTATAGTCCTAAAAGTCCCTTCAGGAAATTGTTGATCGTATGGTCTGCAATAAAAGGATGCGCAATGCCACAGCCATTATGTATACAGGTCACAATCAATGACCCTGACACCGCAAAAATATGCAAATAAGAACATTAACTCAGGGGTTAACGTGGGGAATGTAAAGTGTATGAATATCCAGAATTAACTGTTAACCCCGGGTAAATTATGAAAAGTGTGAAAGGTGATGCAAGATAACCCAGGATTCGGTTTACCCAGGTTTAGAATAACCCAGGGTGAACTATTTCAAATGTAAAATAGTATTGTTTCAAAATGTTTTTCATTTGTCATTTAGGTGTGAAAATGTCTTTAGAGAACAGAATAGAACAAAGCATCACATATAAACTTGATGGAATATGAAATTTAAAACATTTTTATAAATATTCTGAAACAGTGAAATATTTGTAAAGTTATTAAATAGTTTCTTCAAGTATAATTAAAAAAAATAGGAACACATTACCAGAAGAAAATTAAGTTGTGCATCAGTTGATGTAAAATATTTTATTATTATTATTTTTTTGTAAATGTAAATTCAATTCCTCAAATACCAAACCCTATATCGCTCCGTGTACTTCAAAAAAGCATCAGTTTCCAAAACAATTTAGACTACTATACAGAGCAAAAGAAACGAAGAAAAAAACACTAGGAAATTGATGTATTATACAAGACGAGGAAAATATCCATGAAACAATTTTCTTACAGCTGTTCATTGAGAAAAAATATATACAACTGACTCTTGAAAAAATTCATGCCCAGTACAATACAAAGTCTAAACTGTCCATTTTTCAACGTGAAATTGTGCACACAGAAACTCCCATATTGAAATAACAAGGCATTGTGAAATGGGAAAAAGAGTTTTTTGGCTACAAAATGAATAGCGCTCTCTTTACAGATGCTTCACTTCAATCGATAAAACTAATACAAGCACATGTTTTTCATATGTACATCATTTTCAGAGTTACGCTGACCCTTCTTGCTCACCGATACCTGCTCATACCGTCTCCAACAAGCAAGCTTCTCAATCGAACAACTTCTCGTTCTTGCACAACGTTACATGTTTATAAAATCCATACGACAGCCTTTATAAAAAATGAGTGTGATCTACTTGTGCCCGTTCAGTTTACGCTTGTGATCTCATAATCGGTTTGTGAGGTTTAAAGTTCATTTCACAGTTATCCCTACCCCTACAATCCCACCTGATTTACTAGAATGTCACTTTTGAATTCCGTGTCGCTGCTATCTGTAAAATATAATGGAATAAAATGAAATGAAAACCAACCAAACGGTCAGCAATAATGTATAAACCACAAAGTCACTACAAATACCATATCCTAAGCACAGAGAAAATACTTTTCTTGTGAAATCACCTTTGTAATTCTGTACAGTTTCGTAATTACACGTGGTATCATGATGTGTCTTTGTTAAATAATTCCGAAGAGGAAAAGAAAAGAGAAAAAAAGCAAAACAAAAAGGCACACCTAAAATATCTGAACGTCAATATGAATAAGGTAGTATTTGGTCAATCATTCCAATATTTCTCTATATTTACACGGTATTTACAGATGTAACAGAATCTCAAACTGCGTGCAAGAATCACAGTCGGGCTTCCTTTTGATCGGCATAAAACCACTTTTAAAAATAGGCCCATTCATTCACTCACACCGTAATAAATACAAAACACCTTTATTTTCTTACACTAAACAATGAGAGATATCTAGGATAAAACTGACTCATGGAATCAAGTATTTTGAGTGGGTTTTTTTGTGAGTTAATTTTCTTTTTTTGTTTTCCTATTTTTTATTTTATTTTGTTTTTTTAGTGCAACATGTTTGTCCCTTTGCGGAAGTCAATTCCGTACATTCTCCATTCAGTGATGTTCTACATTGATTTCTACGGTTCAGTCTCTACAGATCTCGTCATACAGATGGGCCTGCCCCTCCATCAACCTATAAGGCAATACCCGGCACAGTGCTCGCGCTCATTCTCCGTACTCATTCGCTGGTGAAATCTGCCCCGTGTGACACACACACACACACACACACACACACACACACACACAGACAGACTCATGGCACATGCACATAACGGAACATTTTCCTTTCAAGTCAAGAAATGATACGAATGGCTCACACAATGCTGAATTCTCACATTGTGTTTTCCTCTTAGTCTTGCACATTTAAAAAATAAAAAAATTAAAAAGATCAACAACCTCCAGGATTGGCTGTTTCGTCTTTGCACGTCTCCTCTGGTAAATTGGCACCTCAGAGTTGTTGGAGTTGTTGTTGTCACTCCTGTTTAGTTTATCCACTTGCGGCAGTTGGCAGCTCCACAGTGACATGGGATCTTGCTCTGATCTGCAACTGGGGTGAGCTTGTAATCGTAGCAGAGCTGCAACAAAAAAGGAAGTTCGAATATCAAATCAGAAGCACTGTGGATAGCTCTTATGAGAGCAGACATTACAAAACTCTGCCCTTATTCAGCATTTCATCATAATGATCAAGAAGAGCATTATGCGATGTAGTCGAGAGTACTTTAAAGTGCTTTTTAAAAGGGTCATATGATGCGATTTAAATTTTTCCTTTCTCTTTGGAGTGTTACAAGCTCTTGGTGCATAAAGAAGATCTGTAAAGTTGCAAAGACTAA